TAGGCAGACCTAGCAGTCATCACCTTGATCAAGTCATAATTCCCAACAAGGAAAAGACCATTTAGACATGTCACAACTGGATATAATATGAAACTTGTATCACCTACAATTATTCTTTCAAAAAATTTAACCTGAAGCTAATCAAACCTATAGTCTTTAGACTTCTAGTTCGAAGAAAACACAAACAGAACAAGCCAAACACAGATCACAGACATACACAGATATTAAAGAGCAGTCAAGTGACTTAGATTCTTCAGAAGTCCTATCCTAAGAAAAAAAGGTATTACAGTGCAGGAAGGGATCTTTCAGACTAAAGGAGATAAGCAAATGTAAAGCTCAAACTTCAGTTGTATCCTCATTCAAAAGCAAGCAAGCGAAAGGCTGGCGCACACCTGCAATACCAACACTTGGGAAGCTGAGGCAAGAGGATCCCACAAGTTCGAGGACAGCCTGGGCTACACACAGTGGACTCAAGGCCAGCATGAACTACACAGTGAGACCCTATTGCCAAAAAACAAAAGGCAAGAAATCTGTAAAATACTCATCTTGAGACTAGAAATATTTGAATATAAACTTAAATAATGCAATCTGAATTATATTTTCAATTATGATGGCAGTATCGAGGTTAACCCATTAGGGCAGTGTCCTTATTTGTAGGATATTCCTGCTGACAAAGTGTCCCAATTGAGATAAAGCTCTGAAAATATAAATAAATGTTGAATTTAGGTAGTATGTTGTCCTCTTACCAAATAAAATGAAAAGTTGGAGAAAAAAAATTTTTTTCTTTGTTTTTTTGAGACAGGGTCTCTCCATGTAGTGCAGGCTGGCCTCAAACTCACAGTAATCCTCCTGCCTCAGCCTCCCAAGTGCTGGGATTACAGGCATGTGCCACCATGCCTGGCTAGCTGGAGAAAATTTAAATTAAAAAGTTTTTAGCTGGGTATGGTAACACAGGCTTGTAATCCCAGCCTCTCATGAAGCTGAGGGAGAAAGATAACAAGTTGAGGCCAGCCTGGGCAACTCAGTGAGATACTATCTCAGAATAAAATAAAAAGGTCTCAGGATATAGATCAACAATAGAGCATTTACCTTGCATGCACAAGACCCTGGATTCAATCCCCAGGAGAGCGCATGTACACATACACACAGAGTTCTTTAATATCACATACAAATGTTAAAATACGTAAGCCTGATTTAACACATTTAATGACACTTTCCTACCCAGCATTTAAAGTATGTTTAACAGCCGGGTGTGGTGGCGCACGCCTGTAATCCCAGCACTCGGGAGGCTGAGGCAGGAGGATTATTGCAAGTTCAAGGCCAGCCTGGGCTACAAAGTGAGCTCAAGGCCAGCCTGAACTGCATAGGGAGACCCTGTCTCAAAAAGACAAAAAAAAATAAAGTATGTTTAACAAAAATGCATTTTCAGATTACCTCAAAACATTGTAACAACATTCATCTTTTGCAGGGGGAATTATTTTGAGACCGGTCTCACTATATAGTTTAGGCTGGTCTTGAACTATGTACCCACGCTACCTTGAACTTGTGGCGATCCTCCTGCCTCAGCCTCTCTTACCCTCCAGAGTGATGAAATTATAGGTATATGCCACCATGCCCAGCCATTCATTCATTCTTCAACTTCCGGTGTGTTCTACAATCAGTGGGAAGTAAGTGTGTACACCTAGGGTAATCTGTATTTCCAGAAAAATACTATGTTAATTTTTCTAAAAGATAGTTATTACGTTCAACATTTTAGAAATCCTAAGTGAATAAATGAACATAAATGCATAACATGAAAGCCCATGGGTACTGTGGTCCTACCATACAGAGGGCTGAATCTCTCATAATGGATAAGTGGAAATGTGGACCTAACAATAAAGCCCTACTGTGAGCCAAAGGAATAAGTGGTACCAGTTCTTCTCTACAGCTCTTCTTTAAAGTGGTAACGGTTAATAGCTAATTTAAAATTTGCTCAAGGGCTGGGGACACAGGTCAGCGGCACAGCACCTGCTTGGAAGCAGTCCTGAGTTTGATTCCCGGTACTCACACACAAAAAAATGTGTTCAGAACTGCACATTAATATCTAGTTTACATAAGAGATTATAAACCTTTTTGTTTTTGTTCTTCCGGTACCAGGAATTGAACTCACGACCTCACGCTTGCCAGGCAGATGCTGTGCCTCTGAGCTAAATCCCCAGCCCCTATAAACCTTTTTTGGGGGGTTGTTTTTTTTTCTTCTGTTTTTGAGACAGGGTCTCACTGTGTAACTCAGCCTGGCCCTTCAACTCACAGGACCCTGCCTCAGACTCCCAGGAGCTGGGATCACAGGGTGTGCGTCACCACGCCCAGCTGTTTTGGTTTTTTGAGATAGGGTCTCATTTTATGGCTCAGGCTGGCCCCAAATTCCAGGTGGCCTTCTTGCCTCAGCCTCCCAAGTGCTAGGATTACAGGCATGAACCTTTTTTTCTTTAAAAAACAAGCTAGTCTCCAGACTGGCCTTAAAATCCTGGCCCCAAGTCACCCTCCCTCCTCAGCCTGAGTAGTAGGAACTGCAGGCATGTCACATACCTCGATGCCCATCCCTTAAATCAGCTATTAAATTTGTCCTTTAAAGTATTACAGCCTTTGGCCAGCGTGGTGGTGTACACCTATAATTCCAGCACTCAAGGGGCTGAGATAGGAGGCTCAAGTTTGACGCCGTAGTGAGTTCAAGGCCAGCCTGGATGACACAGCGACACCTTACCTCAGAAACAAAAATTACAGCCCTTAATAAAGATTAAACATCAGAACTGAGAACTAAATGACCACACTATGCTATATATATATATATGTATTCTACTTAATACAGTATCTGCTCATGAATGCTTTTCTACCCTAGATTTATGCTATATTCTGAAACACTTCACATAATTTCTAAAACTAAAAATGATAATATATAAATTGGAAGTCTCTATAAACAAGAATTGTACGCAAGACACGGTGGGCACACCCGGAACCCCAGCTACTTAGCAGGCGGAGGCTGAGGAGGAGGTCTACGAGCTCCAGGCCAGCTAAGCAAGACCTGCCTTAAAATATTCACTCCAAAGCCGGCCTATGTGGAACCCCTAGGGCCCGACGTCAGCAAGATCTCTAGGAAGGGGCTAAGGACGACGATTTCTGTAACTTGCAGTCAACCGAGCCAGCCAAGGAAACACGCGGCCTCGGGCCGTGGGCGTGCCTCCTGCGCACTCCGCTGGCCGGAGCGGACGGACCCTGTGGGACTGCAGAGAACACCGAGCTCTGGTCTGCGCCTGCTGAGGCAGCCTTGCGGGTCTCTTCCTGTGCCTGCTTCTCGTGTTTCCTTTTCCTGCGATAAATGTGTCTCACAGTATAACTGCTGTTAGCTCATCCTAGCAAATATCAAACCTGAGAATGGCTCTGAGAAGCTCTGCACTGGCGGTCGCCAAGACACTCTCTACTGCAGAAAAACGCCTTCATAATTGAAAGTAAGTTTTCTTTCTGAGCTCCTCTGGAATAAAGAGAGAACTGGTGCTAGCTGGGTGTGATTCAAGGCCTGCCTGGGCCACATTACCTACTGAATTCAAGGCTGGCCTGAACTACACAGTGAGACCCTGTCTCAAAATCAAACAGAAGTGGGGCTGGGGATTTAGCTCAGCGGCAAAAGC